ACAGGCAGCTTGTGCGCATGTCTGCTGAGGAGAGAGCTGCAGAGCACGGTTCGGATTGTGGTGTGGGACAAAGCGAGGGGCGCAGGTGAGACAGACAGAAGTCCGTTCATAAAACTGCACAGTTTCCGTTTCCGGTGCCGTGATGGGACCACGGACACGCCGCAGAACATCAGTGACGCGTTTGTGTACCAGAGGAGCCTCCTCTGTAACTCGGCTCGGCTGTGATCAGTGTTCATACGTCACTTTGTGCAAATAACGTTATAGCACGAGTTTATCACCTGCTGAGAGCGAATGACGTCAGTGTATATAGCAGAATCAGAAAGGGTTTCATTGCCAAATGTTGAGCAGGTTTACAGCATTAGCTACTTAGTGCAAACATGCTGTCATATAACGCTTAAATAGACACAAAAATAAGAATTAAAAGTGCTAAGTAGATAGATATATACATGAGTGCAGGTGGTGATCAGTGCAAACATGGCATGATGCAGTGAACACAGCGTAGGTCATGTGTTAGTGGGAACAGTCATACAGTTACTGTTCATGAGTCCAACAGCAGAGGGGAAGAAACTGTTCTTATGGCGAGAGGTTCTGGTGAGCAGGTAGCTGTCATTCCCACAGACACCCTCACCTGTAACAGAAACAGGAGCTTCCACCAGCATCTGTTTACACTCACCTGACATTTCATTAGGTACACTGGTGTCAGGTCAGCCCCCCTGTGTTTCTTCCTGTGCATCATCTTCATCATCCCGAGGCTCCGTTTGAACAGATGACGAGATTCCAGCTGCCAGATTAAAAAGAGGGCTGTCCCCCATAATCAGGTTTTGTGTGATTGTGTTGAACATCATAAAACCACCTGTGACTGACTTTGGTTTGGAGACGTTTCCTGATGCTCAGCTTCAGTCATGAACTGTCTGCCATCATATTCACCTACAGACGGGGTTCGTGTCATAATAAACACACTGGCTGATGAGCCCGCTTCACTTTAAAAAACACTAAATTCCCACTGCTTTACAAACTAAACACTTTCTCCAGCTCCAGAGTCACAGGTAAGTAAAGCTGCCTGCAGCACTAAAGAACAGGTGTGACGGGACAATGTTTTTTTTTCTCCTTCTGTTTTGTGTATTTTTGTTCGTTATATATTCATCTTTGATATTGCAGATAGTTACACCTACACTTTTTTATGTTCAATAAAAGCTTTGCGTGCACTGAGCTGCTACCACGTGATTGGCTGATTAGTCATTTGTGCTAACGAGCAGTTAATAAAGTGTCTGGTTGTGTCGAGAGTAAAACGTGTGGAACAGTGTGAGTCTGTGTGCAGGCGGCAGGATGTCCACCAGCCGCGCTCCCGACGCCTCGTCTCAATCGGCTGATCTGGGAGCGCAGTACATCTCAGCCACGCCCGCCTACGCTCGCACCCACCACAGGTAACACACACCTGTCGCCTTAAAGGGCCAGTATGCCTCTGTAGCTGGGGCTTCAGGCGGGCTGACCGTGCGTGTGCGTGTGCAGGTTTTACTCGGAGCTCCTCTCTGTGGGCCTCCTGCAGCCCCTCGACTGTCCCATCGAAGGTCTGAAGGACCACGAGGGCACCGAGAACTACGTGACGCCACTGGGCACGAGCAGCATCGTCAAGCACTTCCTGTCACAGTCAGGTAAACGTCCACCTGTTGGTCAACTGTCCAATCAGATTCACCTGAAACGCACAGGCTGACTCTGATTCAGTTGAATTAAACTTTATTGAGTCTGTGTGTCAGGAGCCGATTTGTTCCTTGAGCATCACGTGACCGGCCTGTATCGCCGTGGTGCATCGTGGGAGGTCGAGAGGAAGGCAGGAGCCAGCGAGACGTTTGACGCCGTCGTCCTGACGATGCCGGTCCCTCAGATCCTGCAGCTGCAGGGAGACCTGGGACAATGTAAGACGGCCAGAACACACGAGGAAACACACACACACTCGGTGTCTGTATTATGAGGTAAAAAATGACGTCTTGTGAAACACGGGACTCAGACGTCATCGACACGAATGTGAGATCTGAGGTGTGGCGTCTCAGTCAGTAACACCGTTCCGCCACACGGGGGCAGCAACAGCTGCAGGGAGAAGATCCAGCTGTTAGACACGACCCAAGTTCATCGCTGTGATCAATAACTCTCTGATCACAGAGGTCGACCTGAGCAGACACGACGATCCGTCCAGTCCAGCCACTGACCTCAGAGCAGCGCAAACACTGGACTCTTATTTTGAAGAGGTGCTGACTGCTTCCTGCTCCCACATTTTACACACACACACACACACACACACACACACACACACACACACACACGCTCAGCACACTCTGATGTTAAGTAACTTTCCAGAGCTCTGATTGGCTGATAGATTCTTCACAACACTCCCCCGCTCTGTGTGTGTGCGTGTGTGTGTGCGTGTGTGTCTGTGTGTG